CCGAAGAAAATATGAATATGCTCTAACTATCTTGAAAAAGACCGTTATAAAATACACACTTTACAATACTCAAGAAGACAAAGGATTTATCTCACTGTAGGGACAAAGAATCCAGAAAAAAATATAGTAATTAGATTCGCAATTTTATCAACATTACCTGATTTTGGTACTACCGACGCCATATTAGATCCGATATTTTGTAAAATTGAAAACGGACATTAGCATTGTATTCAGCGATATCGAAAACATAGGAATTGAGTACCCACTCACTAGTGCTCATCATTTTGGTATTAACGACGCCATATTGGATCCGCCATTTTATAAAATTGAAATTGACACTAGCATTGTATTCAGCGACATCGAAAGTATAGGTAATATATATTCATTCTCTAAATCGGCTTTTATTTAGAAAATTTTAGATTTCCCCGCTTGTCAACATGTTACTGGCCGCCATCTTGGAAAAATGTTCCAGGAAAATTCGTAATGCCTAGGTTTATCAAAGAACTAACATTTTCAATGTAAATCTACATTTTCATCCTGATTCTATAAATTTCAGCAACTAATTTCTGAAAGAAAAATTCTAATGTAATACTAAATTTTCATTAACATTCAAGACGCCATTTTGTAATTTTCCGTGAAAAATATCCTAATTCTGACTGCAGATTCATAAAGAGCGGGAAATTTTACAATAGAAAAGTGACTTCTAGTATACATTTTCGATTATTTTGAGGTTTTCCTCGGTCAAAAACAAATCGACTATAAAATGGCGCCTTGGGAAGAAATGGGTTAAGGTGAGTTCATCTCCGTTCGATAGAATACAATTAAGCGAAATCATCTGACGTAAAAGCGAATACACGTACAATCATACGTGTTTAACGGAGCGGCGGTTAGCTCTGCACCGTGGGAGTTTGTTCTTAAGTAAATTTCCCATTTTTTTAGATAACCTCCCCCGTTACAGCCTTCCTCTTTTATAATTTCACTAGTATTAAGGATCGAACTTTTTTTATATACAGTTTTAAGTCGGTAAAAGGTATCTTAAGATCGATGTTACGCGTAGCTGGTAACTCTGTTACATGTTTGGCTAAGCAATCTACATTATCATTACCCTGTATTCCTGAGTGAGCTGGCATCCATAAAAGTTGAAGTTTACTATTATTGATACTTTTCGTCTGGAATTTGAGTAGATTTATTTTAATTTCAAGTAAATAAGGATTAATTTTTATGTTGTACTTGATATTTTTAATGATAGCAGCACACTGAGAGAATTGGTGAAAATGTTTACATTGAGGTTGGAATTAGTCATAGCGATTTTGATAGCTTCGTTGATGGCTATACATTCGGCTGTAAAAATGGATGCTTCACTATGGAGACTACGAGTTATTTTAATATTAAAATGATCGCAAATGACTGGTGATCCCACAGATTTGCTGCCAGCCATCTTACTGCTGTCTGTGAATATTGCACAAGCAGCATCTTGGATTAGTCTAAGGTTAATGAGTGAGTCAGGATCCGTAGCATTCTTAATTGAGTTTCCAAAGTCAGTATCAATATCAAATGAACTGAACAGAGTATGGTAGCTATAAAGATAAATATTATATCGCCAGTTGGAGTATAAAATATGATTATTGGAGTTATATTTTTATTAGTCAGGGAATCATTGTTATGTAAAATGTGTCAGAATTGAGGTAGGAATTCAAAAATTTTATACCATTGTCATCAGCATCTTTACAGTTCCATGCTGTGTGATGAGCGTTAAAATCGCCCATGACTATGTGTATCGATATTATTAAAAATGTTGTCCCAAGTGCTTTGTGAATGAATTGTACCTGGTGCTCTATAATATGAATGAATACGAGGGGGGATCAATAAGTCTTTACAAAATCCAAGAGATGATCCTCGTCACGCTTAAATTATGATCTTTTTGGCAAGCAATACTACTAACTAGATATTGTACAGAATTTCAGCTGGATTCATTAAGTCGTTTTTTTGTGAGCGTTGGTTGAACAAAAAGTTATTGGTTTATTTGAAAAATAGAAAAAAACGGAATTTCGAGCGGTGATAAAACATTTTCATTTAAAAGGCCTTACACCAAGAGAAATCACAGTTGAGTTGAACGCCGTTCATGGCAAGTCTGCCCCTGTGCTTAAGACTGTTTATAACTGGGTAAATGAATTTAAACGCGGCCGTATAACAACAAAAGATGAACCTCGTTCAGGACGCCCCGTAGAAGTGAGTACACCCGAAATGGACAACAAAATCCACGATATGTTGTTGAGTGATAGAAGATTAAAATTGCGAGAATTAATTGAGGCCACAGGGGTATCAAAGGGTACAATTATTTCAATTTTGCAAGAAAAATTGGGGATGAAAAATATATCAGTAAGATGGGTGCCGCGTTTGCTCACTGTTGAAAACAAACGAACCCGCGTGTCACCTCTGAGGCTCTTTTGGCACGCATACGTCGTACTCGTAATCGTACTCGTTTGGCGTCGACTCGTAACTGCAGACGAAACATGGGTACACCACTACACTCCTGAAATCAAAGAACAGTCCAAACAATGGATTACCGCAGGAGATCCAGCCTTAAAGAAGGCAAAGATAGAAAAGTCAGCTGGCAAGATTATGGCCACGGTTTTCTGGGATGCGTATGGAATCATCTACATCGACTACTCGGAAAAGGCCCAGACGATTACTGGACAATATTATGCATCATTATTTGGTTAGCTGAAAGAAAAAATCAGAGAAAAACGTCCTCACTTGAACAAAAAAAATACCTCTTTCTTCAAGGCAATGCTCGAGTTCACACGTGTGCAGTTTCGATGGAAAAATTAACGATTTAAAGTTTGTATTAATTGACCATCCACCATATTCGCCTGATTTGGCTCTCAGTGACTTTTTCTTATTTCCTAACCTCAAAAAATAGCTTGCCGGACAACGATTCACGTCGAATGAAGAAGTCAAATGCCTATTTTGAGGGTTTTCAGAAATCATATTTTTCTGATAGCTGAAAAAACTGTAAGGCCATTTAATAAAATGTATCGACCTTCAAAGAGATTACGTTGAAAAATAAAAAAAAATTACATACGCAAAACTTTTTTTTCCTTCTTTTTGTAAACACTTATTGATCCCCCCCCCCCTCATATGATACTATCATATGAATTTAAAATAACTTTGGAGCCTTGACGAGAAAAATAATATCCACGTAAAATTTTCTGTCTTCAAATTCTGTAGTGAAAAAATCATTTTTCTAAATTAAATGTATTTCATCTTAAAATACTTTGGAAGCTTTCCCGATAGGATCAAACATACCCCATATTTAATTTCAGTAACCCCACGTATGTTAATACACTAATTTAGTCCTATGAAGTCACATACGATGGCGGTCCGATAAGTACTTAGCCTACAAAAGATAAACGAAAATTTTGGAAAAGTGGCGTTTTATTTTTCAATATTGTCTCCTTTTAGTGCGATACACTTGGCCCAGCGATGCTCCAACTTCTTTAACCCGTCTGAAAAATACGTTTCCTCGAGGTCTGAAAAGTAGACTTCCGTGGCAGCGATTACCTCCTCTTTCGACTCAAATTTCTGCCCGGCGAGTGACTTTTTCAAGTTTGGAAACAAAAAGAAGTCGCACGGAGCTAAATCTAGAGAATACGGTGAATGGGGCAGCAGTTCGTAGCCTAATTCGACCAATTTGACCATGGCCAAGGCGGAGGTGTGAGCCGGTGCGTTGTCATGGTGGAAGAGCACTTTTTTCTTGGCTAAATGGGGCTGTTTTTTCTGCAATTCGACGTCGAATTAGCCCAATAATTCGGCATAGTACAGCCCTGTGACCGTTTTGCCACTCTGGGTAGTCGATGTAGATCACACCTTGTGAATCCCAGAAAACGGTGGCCATCACCTTTCTGGCCGATGGGGCAGTCTTCGCCTTCTTCAGAGCACTTTCGCCGGGTAAAGTCAACTGTTTCGACTGTTCCTTGGTCTCTGGTGTATACCAGTGGATCCATGTTTCGTCGACTGTCACGAAACGACGCAGAAACTCCTTCGGATTGCGCTTAAACAGCGTCAGACATTGCTCTGAAGTTGTCTCACGTTTGCGTTTGTTGTCCGGACTGAGCAAACGCGGCACCCATCGCGCCGACAGCTTTCTCATGCCCAAAATTTCATGCCAATACGAAATCGTGAATTTTTGTCACGCTATCCTCCGTGGTAACCGTTTTCGGAGCACCTGGACGTGGCTCTTCAAAAATCGACGTGTGACCACGTTGAAACTCGTTAAACCAATTTTTGACGGTCGCCATCGAAGGAGAAGAGTTGCCGTACACAGCATCCAAGCGCTTTTTGATTTCGCCGCGTGATTTCCCTTCCAAAAGCAAGAATCGAATCATCGACCGATACTGCTCTTTTTCCATTTTTCAAAAATCAACGGACACACTTGCTTTCACACGCTCTCAAAAATAAACTACAACTCCGATCCGGTTGAAATCTTGACAGTAATCATCGAGAATGTTGTACTACGTGATAGAATATATCTTTTGCGAGAGTGGCGCCATCGGGCGGTGAGGCTAAGTACTTATCGGACCACCCTCGTATTCCTATTTTTGCAATTTTTATATAGAGTCTCTGTATAATAAAATAATGTGACTTTGAAATGATATGATAGAAAAAAATAAAACACTTACGTGGACGTAAAATTTTTCGTTTTTTTTTAAGCTGAAAGTCGAAAATTCATTTTTTGTGAAATAAATATATTTCACCTAGAAATGAACTTGACCTTTTACTCATGGAATTGAGCCGATCCGAGATCTGGATTCAGTGTATCAAATATATAAAAATATATGTACGTTGATTGTGTGCAGGCAACTTTGTTCTCTACATGCCTATGTTACTTTTCTATTCATAATATTTTAAAGAAATAATTTATTGAATCAACTTACAGTCACTGCAAATTTGTAATGCTTATATCAATATTATTATTTCATAATTTTTATTTTTTACAGTGGAACGTTGTCTTCATTTACTATTTTGTGTGAACAATATTTTACAAGTTTGACGAGAGACCCTTCATTTTTACATTATTTGGAGAAAATCGGCAAGCAATATTTCAATACATCATCAAGCCACAATTCCGACAGAGGATTATTTAGCTCATTTTTACAATCATTGTTCGATGGTATAGAAGAAGATAAGGCTCTTGAAAAAAATGAATTATCAACTGACTTAATGGTTGACTTAGACTAAAGATTGATTACTTCATGAGTCAATTCAATGTTTTTAAAAAAAATAATTACGTAAATAAAGTTATCTGGATCGATTTATCAATAATGAAATATTCAGAAAGTTGTGATTTTTATCTCATTTTTAAATTATGTTATATTATTATATATTTATGTTTAAGATACATATAATAAATTTAAATCAATTTTAAAAGATTTTGAAATTGATACAAACTAAGTTGTTATTGCTTAAGTTTGAAACACAACTCAGGATAATTTTTTTTTTATAATAGAACGTCATATTTACGTTCAGAGATGGTTATTACATTTCTATAATGTTAGAGATCTTGACAGCACTAAAAATTAAGATTGAACTAACGATCAATCCAACATTAAAAGCTGTCTTACGTAGTTAGACAGTTTCATGATACAAAAAGTACAAAATCTAATAAAACTACAAAAAAGATATACCTAATTAAGAGTCTGTCGGGTAAGCATGTCAAAAATGCCTTAGACGGTACCGGAATTCGGACTTGATCGACGTTTTTGTCTTCAAAAGTTATGACTATATCTAAATTTTCAGATTCCTAAAGCACCGCGGGGCAATATGGGTCGCTATTGTGTCGGTTTGGGTATTTTTCAATCAATTTCTGAAATTTTGGGTATCTTAATCAATTTTTGAGTTAGGAAAAAAAAATAAAAAAAGCAAGTTATAAGATCTTTTAAGCCCTACAAACTTATTAAGTCTAAAATAATTTTGGTACGATATTTAAATTTTTACAGCTATTCAATAACTTAAATTTTTCATCATTTTTTCGGGTTCTGATATACAACGGAATAAAAATTTTTAGCACGTTCTATATACTAAACAATATGTATGATTTTTTTTCAAATTTTTTGAAATAATGTAACAATCTTAAAACAAATAAATAATACTAAAAAATGCGATTTTTCGCTTCTAGCACTTTATTGGTACATTCTATTATAAAATTGATAGCACAATTGTATTGTACGCAAAAAAATACATCGAAAATGTGTATGACACTTTTATCATTAACGCCATTCTATCCACGTTGTTTTTAAAAAAAAATCAATCAAATGGAAAACACTTATGGATTTTATTCCTGAACGTGATTGTAGAACCCTTTACAAAACTATTACAAGTGAAATCAAAATCTAGAATTTAGCGGTTTTATTTTTTTGGCTAATTTAAAGTTTTTTATCGACATTTTATAAAATTTAGCCGTATTATGACATTTTAAGGTTCGAGTGGTTATGGGTTTATAAATAAATAATATGATTAATTATAAACTTAAGATAATTTATTTATACTTTTAAGCTATATATTTAATGAAGTTTATACTTTTTAAAGCAAAATAATGAAGAAATGTAATTGCTTGTCATAGCTTACAAATAACTCTCATTGTTATATATAGTTTTTAATAAATTATTTGCGAGCTCTGGGTGTGTGCTGCGTTCCATTCAAGTCTTTTTTAAATCACAATGAACGGGTTCCATTACTTGTTTACTGAAAAACCCAAGCCCTTTGTTATTTTTTAAACAGAAATAGATACGTGATAAAATATCGTATGAGCTTTAAAAGTAACATTAATATTTAAATATAAATAACTTTGACGAAATTCCTTCATAGTATAAATAAAATTTAGATCTAACTTTTTAGAAAAACAGGAATAAACGATTATTTCGTTTAACAAAGTCTTACAAGAATTTCCTGCAGAAACAGGTTCGTCATAAGTTATTTCTCTTGCAACATTACAATCTTAAGCCCACTTCTCACTATCTTTTTGAACTATAAAGACATGTGCTTGTATATTGTATTACCTATACCAATCAGCTTTGGTCCTATACTTAACATGTTTTTTTTCTTTTTTTGGTAAAAGAATCACTATTTTGTTCGATTTTCTTCGTGGGTCTTTGAACATGGTCTTTGAAGTTACGTATCATTTTTTAGTTAAATAAATAAATTTGATAGTAATCACATCCGATTCTATGGGTATGAGCCCTATATATACTATACTACTTGGTATACGCAAAATGTAAATAAAGAGATTAAGCCGGTAATATCAACCAATGGGTCAATATACAAGCTTTCTTACTAGATTTTCAAGCATATAGCGTTTTTGAATTTACAATATAAGCTATGATAAACGATTAATTATATTTCTTCATTATTTTGCTTTAAAAAGTGTATAATCCATTATATTATGTTTAGTTTGTTGTCAACTCGCCATGTCTCTCTCTATGTAAAATGTACCCCTATGTAAATTTATATATATTTATTATTTTTTAAATATTATACATTTATTTAGTAGCAGCAGCAGACGACGACAACCGAGAGCCAAGGTAGGAGAGACAGCCAACAGTTAGAGTAGGGCGCGCGTATGTGTGTTGACGTGGTATGGGTGACGAGCCGCACGCCGCGTGCCGCGTGACAAAGGGCCGGCAATTAACCAACTGCTTCCGAGCCGATAGGATGCCCAGCAAGCCTCAGGCGATTAAAAAAGTTTCCAACAGGCACTTCTAGCCGATTTTACCGCTTGGCTTCCCGAGACGTTTTCCCCGTGTGTGGGGCATTGTATCGCGCGTAGAACGGTGGAAGAGTGTGTGTTACTGCGATCTTCCTGAGGATATAGCTGGCAGCGTGATTGCATTATTTCAAGCCTACCGATCCTCCACGAGGGCTATGCTTTAAGTAATTACCGACCGTTCTTTACGTCTCTCTCTCTCTCTCTCTCTCACGGTAGGTGTCGGACGTGTTTATCACGGCTCCGCTCGTATCTCTGCAAAGTATACAGAATACTAATCTTTTCTTCAACTTTTTGAGTTGAATTCTTTTCAGGCAGGGTGGACATCTCGGCCCAAGCTTTCGCTAACTATTGCATTCTTTGTTGTGCATCAGCCGAGTGTTTTACCATCTGCCTTCAAAGTTTTGTCACACACACATCCAGACACACATAAGCACACACAAGGCCTGGCTCTCTACATCTTACTCAGAAGAAAAAACTGAATTGGGTTCATCATTTGCTGTCTCTGCAGTCAATCGCACCAAAAAGCGTTGGAAGTGAAAATTGTGTCTTCTCTGAATATGTGAACTAGTGACTGTGTTATCGTTTTTCTCTTACGTCTTTACATTACGATTCAGTGTTAAATCAAGTCTTTTTGTGTATCCTGTTGTGTAGAGTGGTGTAGTTGCAATCGAATTTTATTGTTTCTATGGACTATTATTGCAAAACAACGTGTAACATGGTGCTCAAGCAATAATTTTTGTCAATTTGTATATATTTATAATATATTTATTATATATTATTATATATTATATTTGTATAATCTCGTGCTCCCTATTTATTGATTATCTGTGGACTTCGCAACCTATTATCTCTGTTTCTGTTCTATAATACTACGTGTTATTATACCACAAATCCCGTTAAGTGGCATTTATCTTACCTACACATCGTTTCTTTGCGAATTCGCTCTCTCTCTCTCTCTGGCCTGTTCGTGAGTTTCGCTTGATCGTGTGTGGTTAGTTTTCTGCTGGGCCACTGTTTTCACCCGCGCTATTAATTAAAATCTTTCGGAACTCATAATCTATTATATAACTGTCGCTAGGTCTTGGCAACCAGTGGGCCCTTGTTTTCAGAATGCCTGACCTGGATCTCGATAAATTTGTTACGCGGCGTGAATTTAATGTATGTTTCCAATCTTTTTCAAAAACGCATATCGATACTATAACAAAGGAAGTCAGAGATATGTTTCGCGAGGTCATTGATATGGTTAGCGAAACATCTTCAAAACAACTTGAACTAATTCAAAGTCTAACCTCGCGTATCTCTCAGCTCGAAGATGAGGTTGCTTTGCTGAAATCTCATATCTCAGTGCCAGCTAGGTCTCATGCTGAACTCAATGTACCACAACCTAAGATTTCTGCAAAGCCGGATGCTGGCGTAGTCGCGTCCTCAAAATCAAAATCAAAATCTTGTATATCTCCATCTCGCCAAAAAATCACATCACATCATAAGAGCGTAATAAGTGATGATCCATGTGAAGTACTTATAACGGGCATTCCATCGTTTGTAAAGCTAAATCCCATTCAAATTGTAAACAAATTTCTCACGTTCTTGAATCTAGCAAATGTCATCAGTCATGTTATGTATACTAGAGAATGGAAACCGAAAATGGTAAAAACTATAAATCTGCAAAGATCATCTCATTCTTTTGTTGTTAAGTTTGCGTCGCCGACAATCCGCGATGAGTTTGTAAAGAGAGCGAGATCTCATAAAGGTTTAAATTTACTCTTCGGGACCCAAACCTCAAGTAAATTATGCGTAACAAACTTGCTACCAAAACACACATACTTATTATTTGTAAAAGCTAGAAAACTGTCTGAATCCATAGGTTATGCACCACCGATTATTAGAAATGGAACCGTTTGTATGCGCGATATAAATAACATCTGTTTAACTCAAATCTTTTCTGACGAACACCTCACACGTTTCTTTTCACGCAGCTCTGATTAATGTAAATGTCTATGTAAATCAATCTTATTGTACCGTATCTTATTCTTTCGTATTGTCTTGTAATAGGAGAGTGAGCACCTTCTAATATTCTTCTGCGTTTCGTATTGTAAATTTAGGCGTCTCTATTACATTTTCATTTTATATTTTTGTCTCTTATGCCGTCCAATTTAGGTTAACGCCTGTATTCTATATTTATTCTCTATTTTGTAAATTTTCTATGTCACGTCATTGATTATTTATTTGTATGTTCAAGCATTTTTCAAATGGCCGGACGGGGTTCTACCTCATTGGCGTAATAAATGTACTATCTATCTATCTATCTCTCTCTCTCTCTCTCTCTCTCTGCCTAGCTTGCTTTTCTCTCTACACAGCCCAGTACACTTGTATAATATACAAATATACATGAAACTCTTGCATACCTACTGTCCCTGCCCTTTTATTTTATGTACTCTCTCTTTCCATTTGCTTTCCATAGTTTTCGCGATTGCAGCTGCACGACCTACGACGCTCTCCGCGGGCCATTGTAATACGGCAAATATATGGTCAATCTGGACTACCGGGCTCGATCCCGTAAGACCTTCGCATGTACCTGCAACGAACTGTAATTGAGCTTACTTATAAATAAATTATCTTCAGTTTATAATTAATCATGTTATT